TTTTGCCGGCTCTGAGACACTTGCATGTTATTTCTCCTGCTCTTTTTCTAGCAAAAATTCACTCATCACTAAATGAAAACTTAAAGTGAAGACCTGATTATTTCAGGAGCCTTATCACAAGTTCATTGTTTTTGAATGTTGGTGCTACTTCTGCTATATTTTCACACTTAAAACAATAATTTGGTATTCCTCTTGTACCATTGTCCTTTTTTATGCTAAGAAATAAGTCACCTGGCAGTTCTCTCCCAAGTGGTTCCACTGCTGCCAGCATTAAGTCTGAGTATGATTCAGTGGGCTATATAACACGTTTAATTGTCAGGAAATTACTTGTCTTTAAAAGTTTTGGTTCTATATACTTACCTGTTGATCAAAAATAGCCTTAAACCTATACACTTTATTTATTTTTTATTTAGTAACTTTCAGGAGAGTGTACTCATTTTTGCATCACAACATTTTATCACTTTGATAAGAAAATCTTATTTTGCTGAATAATTTTGGCATTCTTCTTTGGTAATTGATCAAGCAGGCTTGTTGGAACATTACATCGCCAAAGAACCCTAACATGTCTTCTAAGTAAAGAGTAATTGCTGAATTTGTTACGTTTTAGAGGGGGTGTACTCATTTATGCTGTGCATTGTATGTTGTTCTGTTTTTTCTTTCAACTGAATATAGTCTTTTGAAAATTGTTGCATAGCTGTTTTGAAACTATTTTTCTCACCAGAGCAACAAAGAGGCCTGTGTGTTTATATAATGTGAACACTAAAAGAATCATATAGCCTTAATAGTTAAAATAATACATAAGGATACAAAGAGTCATTTGATTATGGTGGATTTCATTTACCTAGTTTGTGTGAGAGAAAAATGAAAGAGAGAAAAGTCATTTTTAAAATGTTAAAAGGAAATGTTTTATGGAGTTCGAAAGGTGAAGTTTTACACTATCTCTGTTACGATTAATAATGTTGTTGTGATTAAAATATCATCTACCACACTTGTGAAATGTTTTGATCGTTCAATGCACTATACTGTTTATTTTTAGCTTCATAGGTGATTATTTGTCTTTTGAGGTACAGAACTAGAATCTAAATAATTTGTTAAAGCAATAAATACCAAACAAGTGTAGATTTGGTATAATGCTGTAATCCATTTTCTTAAACATGTCTCATGTACATTCCAATCGAAAACATGATCTTGCAAATAATTATTTTTATAAAGAAGGGACTTCATCTAAGATGTTATTTAATCTGTTGTGTGTGCTTAATGTCAAAATGTGTTTTCCCCTTCAAAAACTGACAAGTTAATTTTACTGTTTTCATTACGATCTCACATACTATATTAGTGCTTTTTTCATTTGATAGTCATTTCAGATATAATGTTGCTTTCACAAAGTTGAAAAAAGTGACCTTAGCAAGCGAAGATAGCAAGTACGAAAGAAAAAGAGCTGTTCAACAATAGATTTTTGTGATTATTAACATATTACTGTAGAATGTCAATGATGTGGGCATATGTCTTTGTTTTAGCTTTGTAAATGTTTAGAGTACAGGCCCAAACCTAATAAAATAATGGAACTGATTTTACATTAGACCTTTTGTTTTTTATTTATTAAAATCATAATTTTACACACATAAATCAAATAATTATATTTTGTGCTTGTATATCTTACTGATGTGCTATAATGGTTTGTCATACTGACAAACTGTTAGGCGAGCATATATTTCAGATAGTAATGCCATTACAATAGTTTTTCAAGTCATTCTCAAATTTGAAAAACTATATAAGTTACTGGTGGATATATTCTATTTCCTGAGTAAATACTCTCCAGATATCCTCCATCTACTGCACTATTTAAGATCTATACTACCTATACTATGATGCCACATTTTACAACTCCATATAACCCGAAGAAGGACAAACTGACGAGAAAACACCATTACGTCATATGTGCTAGATATGAAGTGAAAAACATTACAATCCATATGCTGTAGTGGCAGTGAGAAGTGCCGTGATGAAGGCCCCATCGCTCTGTTAATGCACCTCTGCTGCCATCTCATGACCATTACATAGTGGTAGCAAAAACATATATTATAAATATTATAAAACAAACTTCTCTTTTTCACCCACACACTTCCACAACATTAATTATTGCGATGACTGAGACATATGCCTCATTTATGGATGTAATAAGAAAAAAATCAGGATAGTTAGAAGGATAGTTCACCCAAAAATGTAAATTCTGTCATAATTTAATCACCCTTAAATTGTTCCAAACCTATATGAGTTTCTTTCTTCTGTTGAGCACAAAAGAAGGTATTCTGAAGAATGTTTGCAACCAACCAGTTGACAGTAGCTATTGACTTCCATAGTATGGAAAAATACTATGGAAGTCAATGGCTACCGTCAACTGGTTACCAACATTCTTCAAAATATCTTTTTTGGAAATGTATGACTCATGACAAATGTATGATTTTTCTTTTCCACAAGGAGTGGAAAAGATTAGGTAATTCTCAAATACATAACCTGAACAAACAGTTTACACAAACTGAATCTCAAATATTATAGTAACTTTTCATGATTTTCATACAGGCATACATTTTTTGTTTAATTTTAGCGTTTAGTTTTATACCAGTAAGACTGACTCAAGTAACAATCAAGTAAGTAACAAAATACAACTAACAATCAAAAAAACAAAAACACTTGTTCACCGCTTTGCTGATCCACTAAAAAGAACTGACTCAAAAGAACAATTCACTCTCAAATCATACATCACTATAAATTTCAAAAAGTTAAAGTTTTAATTTAAATAAGAACATTGTCTAGTTGGTGAAATAGTTAGAAGCTCAACATAACTTGACAAATGTATATTATGTACCTTGTAAAATTGTACCTTGATTACCATATAAATTTGATTAATTTTAATTGTTTTTTTTCCCCCAGGTTTTCCTTGACCGTAGGAATCCTGAGAGAAATGATCACATTCATGAAACATCCAGCTCAATACACATTACGATGACACAATGCTGCCTAAATAAATACTCCTCAATAATAGACTTGTTTTCTCAGTCAGCCCAGTGATCTGTGTGAAGCATCTCTCTCAGGCCTGGTCAAACTGAGAGGGTTGAGTCAGTCACAGCTGTCTCCTCCTTTCCCCGTGCCATTGGTCAGTTTCACATAAAGAAATCTCGTGACGATTGTGTACAATCAGAGAGCATGAGAAGGCGAGATACAGTCAATGGCACTTTTACTCAGGCTCAGAGGAAACGGTGATGTTTACGCTCAGTTCAAGCGATGTGGGAACTTTAAGCACAAGCAGCCATCAGTCTACGTCTCTGCCAACACATCAGTTTAACGTCAAAATGAAGATAAACTCTACACACTAATTAGAACCGACTGTTTTTGGACTGCAGAGGCGAGGTTTTTGGAGCGCGGAGGCCGTGTGAGTCTCAGCGGCAGCAGAATGAACGTGGGCACCCAAACTAATCGGTTTAGCACTTGAAGTCCGGGCAGGGTTGGCAAATAGTCCTGCTCTTTTGCGTGGAAACCAGTAGATATTTTTGTCCTGTTAAATGCTCAGCCTTTAAGATAACTCTCTAGCAATTGTAAACTAAAATTACCTTGTTTTTTTATTGTTAGATGCATGCACGGTAATTTGCTACTTCGGTTTAAGTCAGCTTGGCTTGAGAAAATAGCGCTTTAAAATGTTGCAAAATGAATAAACATTTAATCAATATCATTCGGAAATATATTATGATGTTTAAAAATAAATATTGTTTTTAAGTTTTAGCCTACGCCTTTTTTTCTCGCATGTTTTCCCTCGGAGTTCCTCCCCCTGCGGCGCTGGGCGGAGTTTCATACCGAACCAGACGCTCCTTTTGTCGGATTCGTTTCGACCTGACTCCCCGGGGTTTACGGCTAAAAAACAGATACTTAAATACAATAAAACCAATTAACACGAACACGTCGCTAGTTAATAAGCACATCCGTGACGGAATATTGAAAAAAGGTAAGCGATTTGATGATTTTTGAGCCCGTTTAGAGCGTTTTTCAATTTGCTGGTCCCCGAGTCTTTGTAACATTCATGGCGGCTCTGCAGTGAGGGCTCTGGGGCGAGGGAAGGCACAAGCGGCCGCTCATACCTGTGTTTAGGATTCTGATTCACCAAAACATGGCATTATTATACTAAGACTGAATATATGACACAAATTAAACATTTAACGATTTATATTCATGACTGAATTGATTTTTAGTGAAATAATGCGTTTTATAATATTGTCACAATCCCTGCAAAAAATCGAAATGTGCATGCATCTCCACTTGAATTGTGGCAACGAGGTATTTGATACGTATTAAGACATCACTTAAATCTAATCGGCGTAAGCGATATTCCTCGTGCTTTCGCCAGTAGCTTGCTCGCTAGCTGAGGCATTCTTGCCAGCGGAAGCTGCGTGGTGACTCCTGCCGGAATAAAGATGCCATTACCGGGGTTGGAAACAGACTAACGGTCGGTGCGCTACAAGCAACCTATTTTACACTAATTTATTTAATCAGTTAGAGTGGGCTTCACACTAATTATTAAAGTAAATATGCGAACACTTGTTACTGACATTAGTTTTAATAACGCACACTGCATTTTTTGACAATTTACTTGATGCAATACTCTGTTATTAATGAAATACCTCTTGAACATAAAACGGCCAATAATGGTTTATTGTTAACAGAAAGACTAGAATATTGCAGGGGGAAAAAACAGATTTTTCGTGTTTATAACTCTTGGCTCAGTTGACCTTGCGCGCGGGCGGGGATGACACTGTAACCGGGAAACCGGCGCCTCGTGCGGGCAAGCAGCGACGCCACAGCTCGAGAAGTACGCGGGTACGTGCGGGATGCATCAGTGACACTTTACGAGTCTTTGCTCAATATAATACCGAATCCCGGACATAAGATATGTTTGTATTTATTACGTGAAATATGCACAAATTACATGAGAAGATATTATCAGTTATAAAGTCAGTTATACAAAACCAGTTAAATTCTTAAATAAGTGTTCAAGCAAACCGTATGTGTTGTAGTGTCATACGGATCAAAAAATAAAATGTCTGTAATATCTTTATGCATATAATGAAGTAACTTACTCGCCTATGAATGTGCCGTATTGGCAGCATGTAAATAGTAAGCGATCGCGGAGATCAGGAGGAGAAACCGAGGCTTCCGGGGGCACTGATGCACTTTAGCGAGGGTAGTGCTCGTCCTCACATCTCGCTGCTCGTGGTTACATAATCCCAAAGGAAAGTCTTTCCTGCTATTCCATGCCAAGATGACCCCCGACTCCATGTACGTGCGTTTCTCTCGCATCCTCAAATCGTGGCATGAATCGGACAGGAAGCCCGGATAGTTGTCGGTCCTTTCCTGGATGCTTTGCTTAGCCGATCCCTGTAGGCGAACCTAGATGAAATTCGCGGTCGTGGATCGGCGTTGGAAATGTGCGGCTAGGGCATCATTGTCGTGGTTTCTCACCGTTCGCCGCCGCTGGTGAACTGGTATGGCCACGGTGTGATGACGATCCGTGTCGAGGTGGTCCAGGGGCGGAGCATGAGCACATGTTCCTCTGGGAGGCAGTGATGACATCCAGAACATTTCTTACGACCGTTCACAAAATTGAATCACTCGTTTATTGAGGAGCGTTATGTCGTAAATATAACAGATGTTGACCAATCAGAATAAAGGACTGGAACGAACCGTTTTATAATAGTGTATGGAAAGCCGTTTTAACATTTAATCTATAAACAGCACTAGTAGCTAATTTAACATTACTAGTACTTATTTTTTAGATACTAGTATCTTTTCCATTAAGTACTAGTACTTATTCATTAACTACTAGTGCTTATTCTTTAGGTACTAGTGCTTATTCTTTAGGTACTAGTG